CACGCCCAGCTAATTTTTTTATTTTTATTGTAAAGACGAGATCTCGCCAAGTTGTCCAGGTTGGTCTCGACCCCCTGGGCTCAGGCAATCCTCTCGCCTCCGCCTCCCAATGTGCTGGGATTACAGGCATGAGCCACGGCGCCTGGCTCAGTCTCCAGTTTCTACTCTCACAAGCCACCGGTGTCCAGGGCACCAGAGATTCCCAGGATTGGGCTAGGAGGCTGTTGGTTGGTCCAGAGGAGAGGGCTGGGGCAGAAGGGAACAGGCAGATCAGTTACAGCATCAGGGACTTGGGATGGGCACGGAGACCCTGGAGCTGGAGAGAAGGTGGAGACAGACATCAACTTCCTCTCTGTTCTATACAAATGGCCACTGGCCACAGCACTCCAATAAAAGAACTCCTGAATGATTCCAGAAGGCTTTGTAAAGCCTTGGCCACGCACTCAGTACTTCTTTCTATATGGGTCTGCAGAGAAGCAAAGGGCAGGTATTCCACACGTGGGGCTTTGGGGTCACTGAGTCCTGGGTTCGCGTCCTGCCTCTCCATGCCCTGGCTGTGTGGCCTGAGGTAAACCCTTCGGTCTCTGAGCCACACGTCCCCCTTCATGAGGTTGAATGAGAACTAACTAGGTCAGGAGAGCAAAGGCTCGGCCTGGCTCAGGATAAGCGCTCAATAAACGGCAGCTTAAAAATAGATAATGAACACAAAATAGCTCCTGGGAACGGCATTTGTTGTCTTAATCTGGTCCCAACCACTTCCCCAACGTCCTCAGCTCCTGAGTGCTTGCCACCCATAGCTTTTCCCAGAGGAAGGAAGTGGCTCGAAGCCTCAGGAGCGTCCCAGCCAAGAAGGTCTGTACTAGCTGTCTGCACAGATCCGTGATGATAACAATTTAAAAAGAGAGGAATAGCTAATCTAATACTTGTGGGAGCTTACTACGTGATGGGTACCGGTCTGTGTTCTACATTAATTTGTCCACTTAATTCCCGCAGCCAGCAATCTTATGACATCAGTACGGTTATACTTCCCATTCTAGAGATGAGAACACTGAGGTACACAAAGTTAAGGAACTTGCTGAAGCCACAGAGCTAGTGAATGGTGGAGTCTCGCAGCAGGCTCCACGCTTCTCACCTCTCAGCCAGGCATGCAGGAACCAACTGCTGCCCATGCTGCCATGGGGTGACTCTCCCAAGTGTGGCCTGAACCTGGGGCTTGGCTGGGTGGCCCCAGTGGGTCTGGGCTCGGTGTGGGTGTGGCCTGAGCCTCCCAATCTCAGGCCTTGGCTGTGCACCTGGCCCAGGGAGGCATTTAGTGCCCAGAGGCTATAATATTAGCAATGGGCACAGGTGTGAGGACCAGGTAGGGGGCTCGGGAGCCCACAGAAGCCTGCAACTCGAGGAGGTAGGACAGGTGTAGGCGACAGGGCTGAGGGCTGGCTGTGGGTGCAGAGACCGAGGACCCAGGCTCTGGAGGCAGCGTGCCAGGGTTCAGATCCTAGTTTTCCTCACTATGTGGACCTGCGCAAGTCATTCAACTGCTCTCTGCCTCAGTTTTCCCATTTGGCAAATGGGGATCGTGTTAGCGTATAGCCCAAATTCACTTTTGTGCCTAAAACTTTCCGACTAGTACGTGATAAGTTGTAAGCTCTCCGAGAGCATTAGTGACAAGTCTGGCAGTTCTGCCACCCAGACTTTCTGGGACAATGGTCATCTTCCCCTGTGGTTCCCCATACCTCCTTTTACTTCTGTCCAACTTTCCTGGGGGCATGTTGTGACCATAAGTGGCCCTCTCCTCTCAGGAGGACAAGGTGGGAATACACGACTAAATCTGGCACTCTGGAAGTCCACACTGCAGGGGGAGGTGGAGAGAACTCGGCTAGTGTGACCTTAGACAGCCCTGGCAAGCAGAGGCTATGGCGGGAACCCCGGTGCTGGGTCAGAGGACCTGGACCTCATCCTCAAGGGGTGACTTCAACAAGCATCTCTTTCTCTGTGGCTTCTGTTCTGTGCTCAGTGGGCCCTCCACTCACAGGCCGGTCCCCCTGGGGCTGGGTCCCCATGGCACCTGGCATGGGATGGCAGAGACACAGGGAAGGGACGCAGTGATGGGGGAAACATCCAGGTCCTCTACACCTGGAGCCGACCTCACCCAGGACTGGAGACGCAATTTCAGGCACTGACAGCCTGGCACTCCTGATGGGCCCTCAATGCTCTTCACCCTTAAAACTACCTCCCTTCAGACCAGGTGCTGGGCTGGATCCAGGCCACCGGATGATCATTGTGCTCGGTGCCTGGCACACAGTAGATGCCATGTTAATATCAGCTTAACGAACAGACCTCCCAGCCTGACCCTGTTCCTTCCCCTCCCCCACCCAAGATCCCACCTCTGACACCTTCCAGAAACATCCTGAGCCACTTACCTGAACGTACAAAGGAGGGAGTGGGCAGAGACCAGAGGGTGGGGAAGGGGTTTGTGGTCCTCCCTCAACACTCACCAGGACAAGGTCCCTCCAGGGCCTTCCCAGCCCCTCAAACCCGAGTAAGCTATGGGGGCGATGGGGTGGTGGTCCCCCAAGACCCTGTGTTTGGGGTCAATGGTTTGGCTTTAGCCTGCAGAGCCTGAGCCAAGGCCAAAGTCACTCCCGCTCCCAGCCCGGCTGCCCCCTCTCCTGCCCCCTCCTGCCAGGTGGAGACCCAGGTGGGAGGCCAACCTCTCATCCCAGAGCTGGTGGCCCTGGCTCCAAAGACCAGCCTGCCCACCCCCCAGCCTCTGTGCAGGACTCTGGGACCCCCCCACAAACAGAACAGGCCACGCCTGCCGCGGGCCCTCCAGCTCCCTGGGTACCGCCTGGGGGAGAGCGGAGGATGCCAGGTCAGAGACAGGGAGAAGCCCCCGGGGTTACGGGGCACAGGGGCTGTCCTCTGTCCCTTCCTGTCCCCCGACCAAGGATGGGGGTGGGGATGAGGCGTCAGGGATAAGCGTGGGGGCAGGGGAGCCTTCTTTATAACCTGTTCCCACCACTAAGCCCTTCCTGCCAGTGGGGCTCCGGGGCCCTGAGGTCAGGGGAGGGAAAGGGCTGGGGGCGGGCACATGAACTAGGGAGACCTGCGTCTTGGGGCGTGGGAGAGGGAGGGTCGCTCGCCCTCCGGTCCCTCCAAGGCGCCTCCCTCCCCTCGCTCCCCGGCACGCGGCGGGGGGCGTGTGGC